TCCAGCTCCAACGTGGAGCCTCAGAGTGGAGTTCCAGCTGTAATTCCAGCCAGGAGTAACAGCCAGGTTGTCCTGTCTTTCCAGTCAGGGCAAAGAGGCTCCTGTGCAAGAAGGATTTGAGTAACTAAGAAGCTTAAAAGAAGTTTGGTCTTGGAATCACAGCTGGAGATGGGACTGACTGGGTGGGAAAATCCTCCTGCCCACCTTTGCCATCCCCTCCCAGGAGCCTCCCAGAGACTGTTCCCCTCCTTCCCTCCCTCCATCTTTCTGGAGGCCCATCCGTCCCTTCTTCCAGGATAAAAGTCACTTGGAGCTGAAGAGCCTTTAAAGGCTTTGTGACTGGGGCATAACCCCAAACTGCTCCGAATTTGGGAGGGATGATTAGGAACAAACCCTCTGTTCCCAGCTCAGCCTCCTTCCGCGGGAAGTATCCGGCCCCCAATTTGAATGGATCCAGGGATGGGTTTTTATATAGTAATCTGAGATATCAAATTAAGTTCAGCAAAATAATGAAAGCAGTGCTGGGAGGAGCAGAGAGGGAGCAGGGTAAAATGTGAGGGGGAAAATCCTGCAAACCTGGGCTCAGGGCAGCATTCCCAACTCGGGAGGGCAGGAACAGCAGTGAGCCTGATTCCAGGGAGGCCAGGCTGTCACCTGGGGAGGTGTGGGAAGGCAGCAGGGCTGCTCCCTGTGGAGCCAGTGCCTGGCCAGCCCCGACACCAGGGACACAGATCCGTGGGGAGCGTGCAGGGTGGGCACAGGGGGTGCAGGGGGTGGCAGGGGCGTGTTCCTGGGAGCAGGTCTGGCTCTCTGCCCTCTCCCCTCGGCCCTGCCAGCCTGGCTAACCCGTTCCTGTGTGTGCCCTGTCCCCAGGTGAGCCAGCTGAGCAGGCACTTCAACATCCGGCCCTTCTCCCTCAAGAAGCCCACCCCGGACTGACTAGGGCTGGAGGAGGAGAGAGTGGGCCTGCGCTCCGCAGAGGGACTGTAAATACCTGCTGCAAACCCCTGTAAATACTTCGGCCATCCCACAGACCCAGCCTCCTCCCCCTGGACGGGCACCAGGGCTGGGACACGCCGGGGACACCCCCACCCTCCTCTGGCACCGCAAAGGGGCTTCGCCTGGAGCTGGAGCAGGAGGAGCCTCCGGGTCACTGCTACTGTATCTGAGACCAGCTGAATGTTCCCAGGGAAACGTCCAACGCCGGCTCTTGCTCAGGTAAAGCTGGACGGGGATGCAAAGGCTTTACCTGAGCAAAGCCCCTCTGGGCCTGTCACCAAAACCAACACGGGGCTCGTTTCTCCCAGGTCGGGGGAACATCCTGGTGGTCGGGGGAGCTCCTGGCTGTCCCCAGCCCTGCTGGACAGCTCTCGGCCTGGGCTGGTACCTCTGGGGCACATGGTGACAGCTCTCCCACGCTCTCTCCTGCCTTCCTGCATTTGGGCAAATATTGCACCTTTTTTAAGAGGGGGGGAAAAAAAAAAACCCCAGACACACACAAAACTTGTAGTTAAATCCTGACTGATGGGGGGGGGGGGGGGCTTAAAACGTCAGGTCTCAATTTCCTGTAAGAGTGGGACTGTGGCTTCTGCCTGCCCTGCTCGAGCTGTGGGTGCCTGGGACCACATCTCAGCCACATCCCTGCCTGCTCGTGTGTGTTCCCAGTCCAGGAATGGGGTCTGGGCTCCCAGTGGCCACGGGAAGTGTCTGAGCCCACAGGGCTGAGCTCCCACGTCTTCCTCCCAGCAGGGCTGTGCTGTTGTGGTCGGCTCTGCGGGTCCTTGGCTGCCTGAGCCACCACCCCCAGGCACAGCCCAGCCCTTCCCACCAGCGCTTCCACCGCCTGCAGAAGCACCCGGAGCCTCGTGTTGGTTGTGTGTGCACCTTCAGAGCCCTCACTGGGGGGGAGGATGTGGTGGGAACCCTCCCAAACCCCACTGTCTCCTCGTCCCCAGCGGCCGCGTGTCTCATCCAGGGATCTCTTTGTTTACTGTCCGCTTGTCCAAGACGTGTGTGCATTGATCTGACTTTTTTTAATTTGTTTTTGTGATTGAGTTCGAGTGGGGTGGTGAAGACTGAATGCTGATTTTCTTTTCCTGTTGGCTTGATTTAATGCAGACCTGTGCTTGAATGAAGAGTGTAGCTTAAAGCCAGGCTCTGGAAAGGCTGCATCCGGAAGCGAACAAGCACAGCAGATAGTGCAGGTGTAACTGCCATGGGAACAAAGTCCTCCAGACTCTGATTACTGTGCAACGTGGGGCACAACAGCCTGGTCAGGGCGTTTTCCTTCTGCAGGAGGAGGCTCCTGCTGCTCTAGGAAACCTCCAACGTGTGAGTTACAGCAGCAAGTAACTGCTGTCTGATGGGTTTGCTTTTGTGAATTGGAATCACCGTCACGCAGGAGACGAGACTTGAAACCCTGAGGTTCAGCTCGTGAGTTCGTGGGGCTCAACTCGGGGCCACTTGGTCACCCCTTGGTCAGCCCATGGTCACATGGTACGGCCTGTGAGGAGCAACTGGGGCCTCCCCCAGGGCTGAGGAGTGAGCAGGTACCTCCTGAGGGCTGAGGAACAGACAGGTACCTCCTGAGGGCTGAGGAACAGACAGGTACCTCCTGAGGGCTGAGGAACAAACAGGTACCTCCCCCAGGGCTGAGGAACAGACAGGTACCTCCCCCAGGGCTGAGGAGTGAGCAGGTACCTCCTCCCTGGGCTGAGGAGTGAGCAGGTACCTCCCCCTGGGCTGAGAATGAACAGGTACCTCCCCCAGGGCTGAGAATGAACAGGTACCTCCCCCTGGGCTGAGGGATGAACAGGTACCTCCCCGAGGGCTGACAACAGACAGGTACCTCTCCCAGGGCTGAGGAGTGAGCAGGTACCTCCTGAGGGCTGAGGAACAAACAGGTACCTCCTGAGGGCTGATAATGAACAGGTACCTCCTCCCTGGGCTGAGGAGTGAGCAGGTACCTCCCCCAGGGCTGAGGAGTGAGCAGGTACCTCCCCCAGGGCTGAGAATGAACAGGTACCTCCTCCCTGGGCTGAGGAGTGAGCAGGTACCTCCCCCTGGGCTGAGAATGAACAGGTACCTCCTCCAGGGCTGAGGAATGAACAGGTACCTCCCCCTGGGCTGAGG